GCCCCCCCCGGCTAGTGGGGCCACGCCCAGTTATTTGTGCGATCCTGTGCGCATACTCTGGGCATACTCAGGGCATACTCAGGGCATATTACTCACAATACGGACTTCACTCCAATAGAATGCGCAGTAATGATAGCTGTACTTGGGACAGTATTCGGTCTAGATACCGCTATACGGACAGGGCATTCTCTTCGGGTGAAGAAAGTAGCTCTGTCAGCAATGATGCCCAGAAACAGCTTAAAGTTAAAAGCTACAAACAAGTGGGACTCCACATGTGAATATGTCCTCACAATGGAACATTTAATGGCAGATCCTGTGATGCGTTTACACTGAGTCACAAATTTTGTGCCCTCCCTACAGTCTTCCCCCGAATACAACGTACGGTCATTAAAGGTGAATTTGGTGTATCTTTCAGTCTAAATTCAGCTAAAATCACCGTACTACGTTGTATTCGGGGGAAGACTGTAGCTGCGGAATAAAGGAATTTGCAGTCACCACTGGCCCACTCCGATGAGGTCCCATTATCAAAAAAAAAAAGAAAAAAAAGAGGATTGGATTTAGAACCTGAATCTGGCAAAATTAGGATTGACCTCCATTTATGCATCATATCTACGGAGTCCTTGAAAAACGTGAAAACACTTTTCCTTTTTCTGTCATTTGAAACAACAAGTCACAGGCGGCAGGCGGGGCGCAGTGTGAGCATGTCCCAGAGGGTCTCAGTGTCAGTGTATCGTAAGGATAGTCAGAGTGTGAGTGCACCATAGGTTGCCTGAAGTCCCAGTGTGAGTATGTCCCAAGAGGTCCCAGTCTGAGAAGTCAGTATGGCCGTAACTGCGGACCGATACATTGAAAAGAAATCCCGGTGTGAGTATGGACTAAGGAGATGTCAGCTGCAAATGTCGCCATCAGAGAGAGAGAGAGAGAGAGAGAGAGAGAGAATTTTCCATCGATAGAATGGAAAACGCACCGGCCAAGAGGTAAGTCTCCAACCCCTCGGCTGGCCTCAGACTACTTCCATAGATAGGATGAGCAAAATAGAACGACTCTTCCGCTAGAACATGGAAATATACACTGCCTCGTTGAATCTGCCCGACACCTGTGCATGTGTGTGTGTGTGTGTGTGTGTGTGTGTGTGTGTCTGTGTGTGTGTGTGAGAGAGAGAAAGAGAGACAGACAGAGGGAGAGAGAGTTTTCCAGCCACGCACGCAGAGAGATAGAGAGAGGCTACTTCCGTCAATAGGATGAGCAAAATCGGAATGAATTTTCCGCTAGAACATGGAAATATGCACTGCCACTTCTTTCTTTTTTTTTGGTGCGTGTGTGTGTCTGAGTGTGTGTGTGTGTGTATAGTGAGATGAGTCCACCTCATCATGAGACGAGGCAAGCTGAGTTTTGAAGGGGACACAACACAACAAATGCAAAGGTTTTGGACAAAATCCTGATTCGCACGATTACCAGACCACAGTCCAATAAACCACGTCGTAATCAAATCATGCCCAATGCCAGGCTTGTCCTCCTCAATTCAACGCAACGCATAAGTAAAAGCCAACGACTGTTCACTGGAAGGAGGTAGAAGAACGAAGCAGGGAACAATAAGGCGCATCAGGATAGACGGATGAAAAAGTAAGACAGGGAGGGATGGGGACAGGAAAGTAGGGAGGGAATGGGCGATGGAAGAGTAGAAGGGGAACCAAGGAAGACGGAGACAACACGTGACATTCAATCTGCTGAGCTATGCACAACATGCAAACGGAGAGCGAGATGGTCAAGGAGAGAGGATAGAAAGTCCCAGAGAGCAGCGAAAATATGAGAAGATTCCGATTGTACGAAAATAGCTAAAAAATCCCTGAAAATAGATAAGAGTTTCCGGAAAAAAAAAATTTGAGAAGTTGTCGTCAGGAAAGAGAATCAATATATTGGCAAGAAGCATCTACTTCACAAATCTTCAGCAATAATGACAACGGATTGAAGGAAAATCCTCAAATAGAAATGCTTCACCAAAACTCTAGCCAAAGCCTCGTAAATTTGAAAGATCAAGAAATGACCATTCCTATTCAACAACGAGGGGAACTGAGACAAAGATTTCTTGAAGACTCATAGTTCCAATTGACAAAGATAGAGAAGGACACCATTGGTACCATATGACCGTAAGTATGGGCATAGTAGCAGATGCAAAATCGAACCTGAGAGACATTAATCTAAAGGTGCTACCAGATCCTAACTCCTCGTCAATCTAACTAGAGACTGCGATGGAAAGTGGAAGGAGGTCGGGCAGAGGTTGGGCGGAGGGAGGGAGGAGGTCGATCAATCCTTCGTTGGTTCCGTAGTGTTTTTTTTTTTTTTTTTTCTTTTTTTCTTTCCGGCGCTATGCTGATAAAGAACTCCAGCTGATAAAGGCGCTATGCTGATAATGGACATTTTCGTCCATTTAGTCGTTCGACTCGGCTGTGTTGGATCATGATTGACTTGTTGAACTTATGAAGTGACGTCCTAACGACCACTTCCTTTCCCAAGGTAACCGTGGTAGAAGTCATACTACGTGCGAGTGGCTTTGTGTATTGTTCGGTCAAGGCAGCATGGCTTCTAACTTCGCCCCGTCGTCGTCAATGGTCCGTAACTGTTACAATTGCGGACAGCCGGAACACTTGTCACGTTTCTGTCCTTTACCTGATCGTCGATTAGTCGGTAGTTCCAATGCGAATGTCAATACTAGTACGACTATTGTACCTGCGCAAGGAAACACTGTCGCTACGTACCCGACTACTAGAGTCAGTTTTGCTAGTTATGGTTATGGTCATGGTGGTGGCCTCAAGCCACGCGTTGAAACGCTGGAGACTACTGTTGCTGAACTGAAGGCCTATCGGGATGCCGGCTTAGAACGAGAGAGAATCAAGAGGGAGGAAGAAGAGAGGATCAAGCGAGAAAAAGAAGAAGAAGAACGTCGGGAACGTGAGAAGAAAGAAAGAGAGGAATTCCAATCAAAGATTAATGTCAATATTGTTGAGCAACTGAAGCCGGTGCGTGAGCTACTCGAGACCAAAACGGTTAAAGGAGGTGAAAGCGATGAGGTTGCTAAGCTACGGCGTGAGATTGAGAGCCTGAAGATGGCTCAAAAAAACATTGGCGAGTGTTCGACTTCCGAGAGTATTTTTGACCGGTACAAACGGGAGCTTGAAGAGGAGCGTGCACGCGCGGATCGAAGGTTTGTTGTTATGGAGGAGGAGATCGCGAGGCTTAAGAAAGCGAATGAGGAAGCCTTGAGTTCTGCGGAGGCATGGAAGCTGGAAGCTCTTCGGCCGGGGAATAAGAGGGGAAGCGTGGCAGTTACTCCCATCCCGGTTTTGACGACGAGGACGCGTGCTCGGATAACTCCATGACACTCACCCGCTATCGATAGACTGAAGGTTCAGGAGATGATGGCGAATCAGGAACAACAAGAGCAAGAAATTGAACGACTCAAAGAATGGAGGCACCGTGAGTTGAATTGAAGGCGCTAAGCTGAGCAGGAGGTTGATAGGTTGAAGGAGAAGTTGGCTGTTCTTGAGATGGAAAAGAAGGCAGCCACGCCGATTGCCTCTAATTTGAAGACGAAATTGGACGGAGCTGCGGCGGCTACGTTGGATAAAGGGAAACGACCGATGACACCGAAGACGAAGAGTACGACTGTGAACAAACGGGATGCGTTTTTGATCGAGCAGCGGCGATTTTTGAAGTCGAAGAAGAAAGAGGACATCCTGACTATTTGTGCTGATGAAGGCATCACATATACAACGTTGGAGAAGACAAAGGAGAAAATCATACATAAGCGTGCTGACGCTGCTTTCGGGAAGGTTGGAGCACAGAGAGGTGGTGTCGTTATACATGATATCATGGATAACACTGAGCCGGCCAAAGATGATTGTACGGAGGACAACGGTGATTCGGGTGCTTCGTAGGCCTGCCCCCGAATGTGACGTCTGCTTGGAATCTTCTTAAAGCATGTGTTGATTTGCGACTATCTTCTAGTGAGTTCCTTCGGGCCAAACCGTTCAATGTTCTGGCGTGCCTCTTGATATTATTATTGATTAACTTGGGTCACATTCCGTGGGGAGGTAAGCTTTGCGGTTTTGTGGATAGATTGTTGGATGATGGTTATGATTTCACCTTGCAGAAAGGTCCAGTGGTGTCTTGGTGTCCCCATGGTGTCGACACATGTATGTTGGTAGCACGTCTAGGGATTTGCATACGCGTTGGAGTGAACATGTGTATCGGTCATGTAGTAAGGAACTCGTTAGTAAAGGGCAATGGAATGAACGTCTGTATCGGTGGTTACGGAGAGATGGTTCCCAGTATTATTTTGCTATTCCGGTGTGTGTTTGCTCTGAAGCTGATCGAGAGTCTTGTGAGAAATTCTTTATTCGATTATTTTCCCCGTCGTTAAATGTGAGAGATAATAAAAGACGTGCGCGACGGTAACGTCCGGGGCTGCGTGACAGGTTGCGGAAAGCAAAGCGAGGTTGTGAGGTGACAAAATGTTGTCAACCGAGGAAGGGATCGTTATTCTGTTTCTCTTCGAGTATCGGTGTTTGTTCGTCTAGCCTGTTTTCAATCCTTGAAAAATGTCGCAAGCTGTCGATTCATCGTTGTTCGGTAGTATGTCGGGGTGGTCCGCTGTTGATAGATAAGTGGAAGGTGCTTAGACGGTCGTATGGTGGGTCGTTGGTGTCATGTGAACACGGTCGAGGGCTACTTCGTCACTCTCGGGGTTGGATCACCGATGGTACTATGTTGGTCTTCGAGTCTGTTGTCCCCTTTCCGAGCAAGTCTTTGGCACTGAAACCCGCTTTAATTAGTCTTCTGAGGAACCCTCCTGTGAGATTAAAGCTTTGCAAATGGTCTTTCGAGTATTCGGTGCTGGCATTTACTGCAGTACGAAGTTTTAGCGAGAAAAGAAAACGGTGTAGACTTAGGCAGATAATTTCCCGCTCTATTTCATTGCAGTTTAATGTTCAGGTGAGACAACGTTTGGTGGTTCGTATTGTGTATGATGAGACAAGCAGTAAAGTGAGACTCCGGAAGCTCTGCGCACGACTGATCTTTCTTTTGGAAATCCCACTAGTATGGAAGGAAGCGTTAGTACGAAGAATGCGAGTTGTGTGGTGCCGTAATCGCACGATCGGAGATGTGTTGCATAACTTTCATCAGGCTGCAAGGAGTAGTTGTGTGAGCTGTACGTGCGATCAGTCCCCTGAGTCTCTACCACGTGTTGATGGTCACGTTGAGTTTAGGCTCTCGGAGAGTGAATTGTTTCCTGACTGGATGAAGAACAGTAAAAATATTTTAGTACCCTCTCAATCTCGTCCTGTAGCCTGCCTGAAGAAGCAAATTCTTGATGCCTTTCGTTCTTTCTCGTCGCTTCCCAAGCTGGATCCAGATTTGTGTACCTTCTCTGAGCTAGAATTGTGCTTTAATCAGTCTGTTCCTCTGAAATGGGTTCGCAGGCATGTGGGATAGATGAGGCTTTGAAGTTTCGTGAGTCGCTGAGTAGATTAGTTTGTTGCCCACTTTATCACAATATGGGCGATACGTTTGTCTGCTGCCCTGTTGTTTACTGAAAGGGTATGAGCACGCTTTTCTTGGAAAACCCAGCTTTCTTGACGATCGGTGAAGAAGAATCAGTGATTCAGAAACGGATGTCGCAGTTGTATGGGTCGCTTCAGTTAAATAGAATTGGAAGATGGAACGAAGGGGGTGGATTTGGAAAGGCGTACTGCCTACCTAAGCACAAGGACACTAGGAGATGGCGACCGATTTGCCCGTCCTTTTCAAAATGTTCGATGACTGGAGGAAAAATCGTTTCTAAGGCTGTCAATTGTTTGCTGTGGAACTTACCTAAACAGTCTAACTTTAATCTACGAAGTACCGAGGATTTGGTAAACGAAGTTGCGAGGATCAACAAGAAGGTAGGAAGCGATGAGTGCCTGGTGGGTGCATCGTACGATGTGAAAGAAATGTTCTCGAACCTCCCACACTCCTCTATTCTTTCTGCGTTGGACTGGGTGACGGACTTTTGGGATGAGAAGGAAGTTGTTGCCGTTGCTGTGAAGAAGAGAGGAAAAGATGCAAAATTAGTCAAAAGGAAATCTGAGGAGGGTTGGCATTTCGTAGAGCTGTCGCAGATCCTTAACTTTGTTCGTTTTGAGTTGGAAAACACTTTTGTGAATGCGGCGGGCCGGATTTTAAAGCAGAACGTTGGGATCCCTATGGGGAGATCGTCAAGCCCAGCGTTGGCTTGTTTATTATGCGCCTACAACGAGTTTGTGTTTTTAGCATCTCTCGGCTCTGATCGATCGTTGGTTAACGGTTTCCGCCTTGTAGACGACGTATCTGTGTTTGTGATATGTAAGAAGAATCAGTCAGAAGCGTCTGCTGAGGAGATTTTTCGGATGTTCGAAGGATGCTATGATGATTGATTGACGTTGGAAAGAACGAGTACGGGTAACTGCTGGGACTATCTGGGCTGCGTTCTGAAAATCTTCAGTAATCCGGTTGGTCTGGCCTGTATGCCGTGTCATAAGAATCAGTGTGGTTCAGTTAATGGGCGATTGGTGTATCAGAGTTTGCAGGATTACTGCTCTTACTCCAGCAAACAACAGAAGATTGCAGTTGTCAGCTCCTTCCTCCATCGAGCTAAACGCTTAGCTACTGTTCCAGGCACGGAATTCCCTTTTCTCGTCACTTTGAAAACTGAGCTGTGGCGTCGCCAGTATCCTGATGATATTTTTGACGATGCCCTTGTGAAAATTTCCAGGAAATTTGGGGGGATATGGCAAAAATGGGTAGTGGTTTTGACAGGGTGGAAGAAAGGTTTGCGAGGAAAAAGTTCTGCAGGTTAGGACCGATGAGTATGGGGTCTGCACTTGTTTCTGTCGGTCACTGTTTGTTTGTTCGGTCTTGTTTTTTGGTTTTCGTTTTTTGTTTTGTTTGTTATTTTTCGTTTCCCTGTGGGTTACTGAGGTAGTGTTTGAACTTGTGATCTTGTTTACTGCGTGGACCTGTACTTAGGCAGATATTGGAAGGTCGGTTTCTGCGTGTTTTTTGATACTGTGTTGATGGAGGTTCGAACCGGTGACCTCTAGGCCTGCGTATTCGTTGAATCGGAATGGTGGCTTGAATGATGACGAATTGATGGTTGAGTACGCGGTGTCTGAGGAGACTTTCAAAGAAAAGATCTGTAGTGCATCTGTGGATTCGAACCGGTTATATCTCGAACTGCCTGTAGGTTGTTTTAGGACTGTACCTGAATATTGGCGAATTGACGGAAAAATACATGGACGCCGAGGTAAGTGATTTTGAACTTCGGAAATGTCGATAGGACCGGTGTTACTGGGTCAGTAAGCAATTTTGAACTGTGGTTCTTCAGTTGATAGTTGGACTGTAGCTTCTAGAATAGTTACTTCGCTGTTTCCACATACTATAAGTATAGAAGTCTACAGTCTGTTCCTTACCGACATCTTAAGACCCCTGATGAGGCTGGTATGACGGCCAGCCGAAACCGGTCGGGTCGTTCGTCAATCTGTGCTTTATGTTACAAATTTTTCGACGTCGTGTTCGGGATATTCGACTTGACTTCTATTGTCAGTTCTCTGTCTTCTCTACGTCTCTTCTTTTCTCCCATGCACTGCTCTTTCTATTCTCTGTGTCAGTCAGTGTGTCTGGATGTTGTCGTTCGACTCGGCTGTGTTGGATCATGATTGACTTGTTGAACTTGTGAAGTGACGTCCTAACGACTAGTACTTCTATTGCCTGCAGTGGTGCTGCCAGTCAGTTTGCTCCTGTATGCTGACCCCCAAAACTTCCTGCCGCATGCACGCCATGTCGGGGAAAAATGGCTGCCAAACATAATGCCACCTTTCTGAAACCTACAAGACAAAAAAATTGTCAGCGGTAATCATGACGTACTGCAGACACTCTTTTGTTCTAAAAATCAATGCTATCATTTTTGGAATAAAAATCGAACCATCCTAAATAAAATAAAAAAATGGAGTCACAGAAGGGGACCTTTTTTTTTTTTTTTTTTTTTTTTTTTTTTTTTTACAGAACTGCACGTGTGGGTGGTGGAGGTGCTGATAAGAGCAGCCACCTCCAGCACCCTCCAAGAGGCTCCATTTATTGGTGGGGAGCAGCACCTGCTGGAAAACAGGTCCACCGTCCCTTACACAGAATAGTCTGAGATTGACTGAGATCTATACAAGGATGAGGAAGAGCCAATTTAGCTCTTCCACAGGCCGCCAGAACTGTACTCATGTCGCCTACTAGTCGTTTGTACACACCATACCACAGAAAGTCTACCACTGCTGCACTGCATTTTCCAGGGGAGGAAACATATCCGGAAATCCGTTGGGCTCAAAAAAAAAAAACATCCGGAAACAGGGATCAATCTGCATCCGCTCATGGAAGGAAAGGGAGTGATCCTTCAGAAGTGGTCTTCCGGCTCCCTCCCCCTCCCCCTCTCTCCCCTTTACCCTCCCCCTCTCCCTCCCCCTCACCCCTTGGGCAATTTACATATCACATCCATTCCCCGTGCTCCCATCCCAGCCAGTCCATTGAAAATTGTGTAATGCATTCTTGGATATCGTTGTGTTGAGACAGTTGAGTGTAGTGCTTCAGTTTTGCCTTCAAGTTGGTCTGTGCCCTTTCGGTGTGGAGTTCCATGTGTCACGGAATGAACTGACGGATCATATCTGTGACTTCAGCCCTGATAGAACTTCAAGAGTCTTGGTGTTCTCGCAGATCGCATGCAGAGCGTGCAGAGCATGCAGAGCATGCAGAGATGGAGAATCAAACACAGGCTCGCTCTCATTCCAGTTATGGATTCGTGCAAGTTGGCTCCGGCAGTGCAATCACAGTGCCTGTGCATGTGTGTCATATGTGTGTGTGTGTTTGTGTGTGTGTGTGTGTGTGTGTGTGTGTGTGTGTGTGTGTGTGTGTGTGTGTGTGTGTTTGTGTNAGATAGATAGATAGATAGATAGATAGATAGATAGATAGAGAGAGAGAGAGAGAGAGAGAGAGAGAGAGAGAGAGAGAGAGAGAGAGAGAGAGAGTTGAAAGAGAAAAAAATCTATGTTTTTGATTTATTAAAAATCGGGAAATTGAGGAAAACAATTCAAAAAATATATAGAGGGGTAGCTTGCTTCCAGGAGCAACACCCTAATAGTATATATTGTTTTCTTTTTTGATTTTCGGGGCATCTTGGATGCAAAAAAAAATCATGCCTCAACCTGGCCGCCCGGGCATGGCCATCCGGTCACGG